GCTGGCTCTGCTTCTAGATAGGCGGAGCCAGCTGTCACTCAGGGACCTTCTCAGGTCCGCCCCCTGGGTTATCGGCATATAGCAGGTAATAGCCCGCTGTATACTGTGTTTTGGACCAAAAAGCTGCCCCATAGTTCTCCTCACTCTCCAGCATGTCAGCTTTGGGTGGAGTGGCCCTTCGATGCCACATTGGGCCCCTCCCCTCAGTTCTCACCTTCCTCCATGGCGGCATCAAGAAATAGGCGGAAGCGCCGGCTCCTCAGACTAAACACCTTGGCCACCTCAGGAAACAGGCCGTGATATTTCAGGTCATTCTGACCAATCGGATTCTCCAGCAGCAGCGTCCCTGGAAGGAAAGAGAACCTGTCACATGTCCCCATCTAGCTCCGCCTCCCACGCTCCTCACCGCTGCCGCCACTCACCTTGCGCACCGCTACTCAGCAGCCGCAGATTGACATATCGACACTGAAGCGGATTCCCATTGGACGCCGGAGGAGCTCCGGAGGACACATGGAGGATCTTTCCGCTGAGGCTGAGGAGATTGCAGTCATTGGGCAGTTCTACAAAGAACGAGGATTACCGGTCAGATCAGCATGGAGGATGCACAGTGCAGCTCACAGCATTCAATGACAGATGTTACCTGCCCCCCCGCTGTATACAGAGAGCCGGGAAGTCTTCATCCGGAATATTCCGCACACGGCACTCTTTAATTGTGATAGGCTGTCCATGGCCTCCCCCTTGGGGTTCTCCAGCAGCAGAAATCCACCTGAAAGGGCCACAGCCAATGGTAATGTTCCTACAAGTCACATGACCCTCTATGAGGAAGAAGATTCCAGTCCAGAGCTCCACACACCATGAGCCAACAGGAAGAGGAGGAGCTAGGGGTGTGTGCAAAGGAGGGGCCTGTCTGTGGGAGGTTACGTGCCGTGTGGAGGAGGGGCCTGTCTGTGGGAGGCTCTGTGCGTTGTAGAGGAGGGGCCTGTCTGTGGGAGGTTCTGTGTGGTGTAGAGGAGGGGCCTGTCTGTGGGAGGTTCTGTGTGGTGTAGAGGAGGGGCCTGTCTGTGGGAGGTTCTGTGTGGTGTAGAGGAGGGGCCTGTTTGTGGGAGGTTCTGCGTGGGGCAGATGCAGGGAAGGTATTGGACACTTTGTGGAACGACATGCCCCACTGAACTCTCCTTCCTATACACTAGGGGAGGAGCAAGGCCTTTCTGCTTAGCAGCCATCCTTCTATGGGCAGGGCTTATACCAGAGGTCACTCAGAGTCAGATGATGTCACTGGACTGGCAAGGCATGCTGGGACAAGCAGAGAGATCAGATGATGAGGTCTGCACTTACTTTGCTCTGTCCCGCTATCGTTTATATGAAGTGTGACATAAGCACAGGAAGGGCCGCCGGCAGCGTGTGCCGATCCTCTGACCAGGCCGGCAGCGTGTGCCGATCCTCTGACCAGCGTGATCTCCAGATCGGAACCTTTCATCTGTGGAGAGGAAATACACAATGACTGGAATCCGACAGAACGCACAGCGGGGTCCAAACATCTGACTCCATGCAGCTCTCCCCACGGGGCCCAGAGCGATCTGTCACCGATATTCCGGGAGCACACGAGGCAGAACACGGCCGACACTCACCTGCGTCCTCTCCTTGATGATGACAGCGGCGGAGGATGGGACGGGGTACGCTAACAGCGGAGACTTGACTGTGGCCAAGATGAAGTCTGTGTGGTGCTGAATGACAGAGTGGAGGTACCGGCCCGCTGGACTCACTTCATAGTAGATGGAGATCTCATCAGTGGGAACCAAATTACCCTGCAAGAGAACACGGCAAGCTTCATGTATGACCCACCGCAGGACCTCCATGCGTGTCACACCAGAGACTGAATTGTATCCAAAGATATAGATTCAGGTGATGGAAACCCCAAAACTCCGGAACCCCCCCCAGACTCTGGAACCCCCCCAGACTCCGGAAACACCCCCCCAGACTCTGGAAACCCCCCAG